AGGAAATTCCAACGCAAGGCTATTCTTCAGTAAGTTGCAAGCAAGTCTCCAGCGAGAGCGCGACTCCAGAGCTCCGGGAGAGCGATTCCTGGATACATTGTAAAGAAGTCCCAAGCGAGAGCGCGATTCCTGAATTACATGCGAGGAAATCTCGGGCGGGAGCGGGGGGTCCTGCCTAAATTGTAAAGAAGTCTCAGGCGGGAGCCGTTGTTGTTGTAACCCGGGGGCCAAGGGCCCAGTTTGAGCAGGAAGACTTTCCCTGTCAAAAAACAGGGTGCGAGCGTCGAGGGGCACACTTTGATTGAGAAAAACAGTATGCACCGGTGGGGGGGATCAACAATAATTATTCTTCAGAAATGAGACTTCAACAACAACAACAACAACAACAACAACAACAACAACAACAACAACAACTACAACTACAACTACAACTACAACTACAACTACAACTACAACTACAACTACAACTACAACTACAGCTACAGCAACTACAACAACTACAACAACTACAACTACAACAACTACAACAACTACAACAACTACAACAACAACAACCACAACAATAACAACAACAAGTTATGTTGCCATCATGCGACGACGACGGCGACGATGACGACGAGCGAAAGCGAGAGCGCGAGAGAGAACGACAGCAGGGCCACGAAGGGCACGAAGTGGACCACGAAGGGCGACAGCGGGGACACAAAGGGAATGCGTATGGGGCCACGAAGAGCGCGAACGAGCGGGGGCCACGAAGGACAGATAATGCGGGACCACAGAAGGCAACGACGGGGCCACTGAGGGTAGCAACTGGGCCACGTACGACAGCGAGTGGGCCACCAAGGGCGACAGCGGGGCCACGAAGCCACGACGGGCGCGAACGAGCGGGGGCCACGAAGGGCATACATAGATTGGGCCGCGGAGGGCAAGGACGGGGCCATTGAAGGCAGCAACGGGGCCACGAAGGGCATGTATATGGGGCCACGACGGACGAACGGGGCCACGAAGGGCATGCATATGGGGCCACAACGGGCGCGAACGAGCGGGGGCCACGAAGGGCATACATATACGGAGCCACGAGGGGCAGCGAGGGGGCCACGAAGGGCTGCAACGGGGCCACGAAGGGCAGCGAGGAGGCCACGAGGGGCTGCAACGGGGCCACGAAGGGCAGCAACGGGGCCACGAGGGGCTGCAACGGGGCCACGAAGGGCCGCGAGGTGGCCACGAAGGACAGCGAGGGGACCACGAAGGGCAGCGAGGGGGCCACGAAGGGGTGCAACGGGGCCACGAAAGGCAGCGAGGGGGCCACGAAGGGCAGCAACGGGGCCACGGAGAGCAGCGAGGGGGCCACGAAGGGCTGCAACGGGGCCACGAAGGGCAGCGAGCGGGCCACGAGGGGCTGCAACGGGGCCACGAAGAGCAGCGAGGGGGCCACGAGGCAGCGAGGGGGCCACGAAGGGCTGCAACGGGGCCACGAAGGGCAGCGAGATTTCAATTCCTCAGTGATATGTGAAGGAATCCTAAGCGTGAGCGCGACGCCTGGGTGCCTGACTGTCAGGAGCGCGGCGCTTGAGTAAATTGCGGGGAAATTCCAACGCAATGGCGCTTTCCTTGAATAATTTGCAAGCAAGTCTCCAGCGAGAGCACGACTCCAGAGCGCCGAGAAAACGATTCCTAAATAAATTGTGAGAAAGTCTCGGGCTGGAGCGGGGGCCCTGGCTAGATTGTGAGGAAGTCTCAGGCGAGAGCCGTTGTTGTTGTTGTAACCCGGGGGGGCAACAATGCAATTTGAGGACGAAGACTTCCCCTGATAAAAAAGGTGCGAGCGCCGGGAGGAGCACTTCAATTGAACAAATTAAAAATACACCGGAGGGGGATCAACAATTATCAGTAGTGAAAATTCAATTACAACAACAACAACCACAACAACAACAACAACAACAACAACAACAACAACAACAACAACAGCAGCAGCAGCAGCAGCAGCAGCAACAGCAACAGCAACAGCAACAGCAACAGCAACAGCAACAACAACAGCAACAGCAACAGCAACAACAATCAGTTTAAGACTGTTCGCTCTTTCTGGCACGCGTGTCTTGCATTCCGTATACCCCAACCCTGGATACCCGCCCACTTCATCTTCGATTGCACCCCCTTTCGGGGGAATCCCATCCTTGTCGGCCACTGACTGAAGTGCGAGGATGTCTCGAGCGAGAGCGCCGTTCCTGAATTCGGGGGCCTCTCTGGCCAGGGGCTCTCGGAATACCTGAAGACCTGTCGAACGCGAACCTTTGTCGCCGTGTCCGGACCTCCACCAACTTGCCTGAATTACGGGAAAGTCCCGAGCAAGAGCGCCGTTCCTGAGCTCGGGGGCCTTCTTGCCCAGAGGCTTCGGATTAAATCGCGAGGAAGTATTGAGCAGGAGCCCTTGTCGTCGTGGCTGGGCCTCCGCCAACTTGACTGAATTGCAAGGAAGTCCCGAGCGAGAGCGCCGTTCTTCAGTACGGGGGCCTCCCTGGCCAGGATGTCTCGGGGTAAGTTGTGAGGAAGTATCGAGCGGGAGCCGTTGTCGCCGTAGCTGGGCCTGCAAGGGCCCACATGGCTCAAGCCAACCCGTGAGCGGGAGCCTCGCTTTCAGACAAATTGTAGCTGGCCAGCGTCGAGGCGAGAGCGCGCGGAACCGTTTACGGAGACCAACAACAATTATTCTCTAGAAATGAATATTCAACACAACAACAACAACAACAACAACAACAACAATCATTTTACCCGAACGCTCAGTGTTCTCCCCAGTGCCAGGGTTTTCATGCGACGCCAGCCAATACCCCCACTTCGTGGGGGGGCAATGCAAGCTCTACCAAACATCCACACGACTCTCGGGAACCACCCACACCCAGCTTCCCGCCCTATGACGTCAGGACACTTCACTTCGTGGCGCGCGGACGATCGTGGATACTACACTGGCGTGGAGTACACACCCGCAGAGGTTGATCACTTGTTTGGGCCCCGCATGTGCCCCGCATCGTGCATTCGTTGCGCATGACATAGAGAGAGCAAGACAGAGAGAGAGAGAGAGCAAGACAGAGAGACAGAGAGAGAGAGAGAGAGAGAGCAAGACAGAGAACCCTGGAAACCCTGGAACTGAGGAGAACACTGAGCTGGGGTTCCCAGGGGAAGTCGGAGGCTTCCTGGGGCCGCTTGGGGTCCTCTTGGGGTAGGGGGGAAGCCTCCTGAAGCCGCTTGGGGTCCTCTTAAGCTTTGGGGGGCTTCTTGGAAGCATCTTGGGGCCTCTTGGGAGCTTATTGGGTCCTCACGGCGGGCTCTTGAGGCCTCTTGAAGGCCTCCTGGGGCAACGTATGCCGCAACCAGTAGGGAGCGTTTTATTCTCGGCGGCCGAGGGCGCAACCTATGGCGCAACCAATAGGAGGGCGTTTTATTCTCGGCGGCCGAGGGCGCAACCTATGGCGCAACCGCAAGGGATTCTGGCCCCTGGCAGGCGCGCGAACCCCGTTGCAAGAGCGTGCGAAAGTAGCTCGCGCGAGCTCATGTAACATAAATGTTGGAAAACCATTGGTTTTTTTAGGATTCGGACAGCGCGCGCGGGTGGAAATTTTGAAAAGTCGTGCAGGTGTTTTTCGAGGACCTACGGTGCGATTCGTGTGATTTTATGATGCGCGGTGGTAAAATTCTTAAAAACCCAATGGTTTTTGTAGATTTCGGCGTGCGCGCGCGAAGAAAAAACGAATGTGTCCCGCATGGTATTATTTGACAGGGATGATGGCCCTGGCAGGTGCGCAACCGTTGTCGCAGAAGTTTGAAAAAGTTGCTCGCAAAAGCCCGTTTGACAAAATTGTTTAAAAAGTGATGGTTTTCCTACGAATCCGCAAGAGCGCGCGGGATGAGATTTTGACAATTTTTTATTTAAAAAAACCATTGGGTTTTTGATGTTTTTATGTTGAAATCGTTCCGAAACCTAAGGTTTTGGAAGGATTTCGTCTTGCACGCGCGAATGTCCACTTTAGCTTATTTTTTGCAAGGGATTCTTGAAATTGGATTACATTTGAACAAGAATTTTCATTTTATAGTGTTTTTTGCAAGGGAAAACGGGGGGGAACAAAACAACCGGATCCGGTACTAATCCACTTTTCTGAAGCTTTCGCGAAAAAATGATGAAAATGTAGCTGCGGCCTAGGTTTTGGAGGGGGGTCGTGTACCAGGGGTCCCAACAATAATTATTCTTTAGAAGTAATAATGTTCAACAACAACAACAACAACAACAACAACAACACAACAACAACAACAACAACAACAACAACACAACAACAACAACAACAACAACAACAACAACAACAACAACAACAACAACAACAACAACAACAACAACAACAACAACAACAACAACAACAACAACAACAACAACAACAACCACGGCGACGACGACGATGACGACGACGACGACGACAACAACAACAAGAACTACAACATTCATATTAAGACGGTTCGCTCCTATCTGTTCGCGTGCCACTTAACACGTATATTCCACACCCTGGGTACCTGCCGTCTTCGCCTTCGATTGTACCACCTCGGGGGTATGTTTTCCTGACCTGCCACGTGAAGTTAGTGCAGCCCCTAGAACAGTGGAAGAGAGGACGGATGGAAGGGGGAGGACGAAGGATAGAGCACGAGAACAATTAGCAGGAGGGGAGCTAGGGGCAGAAAAAATCGTGGCAGAACCAGACGGGCAGATCGGGCGGGCAGACCCTGGCGGGCGGGTCGGAAGGCGGGCCCAGGCTCATCCCCAGCTTCCCCCATCCATCCTCCCCCATCCTCCCCCGTCCTCCATCCTCCTCCATCCTTCTCCGTCCTCCATCCTCCTCCATCCTCCTCCATCCTCCGCCATCCTCCTCCATCCTCCTCCATCCTCCTCCATCCTCTGGCCCCTGCAGGCAGATCGAATCACACCGAATCGGGTCGTCGCCTGCGAGGGCTGGGGCCGCCGCGTCCTTCGCGTCGAGCAGCTCCTGGAAGTGCGGCTGGCTCAGCAGCTCCTCCTGCGCCCGTGGGTCGGGGATCTACTGGCCCGGGCCAGTCCAAATCCAAGTCACTCGGGCTTTGCAGGATCCTCCTCCTCCTCCTCCTCCTCCTCCTCCTCCTCCTCCTCCATATCCTCCACGATCCTGCGCGCATGCCCGGGTCAATCCACCCCTGGCTCCGCCAGATCCCGAAGGATCCTGCGCGCAGGCTCGAGCCAGTGCACCTCCGCAAGCTCTTCGGGCTCCTGCAAGATCCGTCGCTATGGCGTTGAGTCGGGCGTGTCCCCCTACAGGGGGATGTTCGACGAAAAATAAAAAATACCCCCAAAAATACACCCAAAAGGTCAGAAAATACTCAAAAAATAGTCCCCAGACTACTTTTGGACTATTTTGTGTTATTTTTTGTGTATTTTTCATTTTTCGTCGAAAATCTCCGTGTAGGGGGACACGCCCAACTTAACTCTGGCAGACCCCCGCTTGCACTGGACCCCCGCCCCCCTGCGCCCCGAGCGGGGCGCGCGGGGGCGGCGCGAGCCCGCGAAGCTGGTCGCTGGCGAGGCGCCCCAGGCCAGGCCGGCGCCCCCACGGCGGCGTCGTCGGCGGCGGTGGCACGGAGAGCCGAAGGAGGAGGAGGAGGGAGGAGAAGGGAGGAAGGAGGGAGGAGGGAGGAGGAGGCTTAGGAGGGAGGAGGGAGGAGGGAGGAGGGAGGTGGGAGGAGGGAGGAGGAGGAGGGATGGGAGGAGGAGGGAGGAGGGAGGAGGGAGGAGAGAGGAGGGAGGAGGGAGGAGGAGGAGGGAGGAGGGAGGAGGAGGGGAGGGAGGAGGGAGGAGGGAGGAGGGAGGAGGGAGGAGGGAGGAGGGAGGAGGGAGGAGGGAGGAGGAGGAGGAGGAGGAGGAGGAGGAGGAGGAGGAGCTTTTGTCTTGTGTTCTCCAGCTCTGGGGACCTGTACCAGGCCTCGGGACCGTCAGAAAACGGCTCGGGATGAAAAACATGCTCGGGAGAATGGGTCGAGACCTGTAGGGGTGGACGTAGTGAAAAACGCATGACGTCGGAGGTCTGGGAGGGGCGCGGATTACTAAAAAAATCACCGAGATCGCCCAGATCGCCAATATCACCCAGATCACACAGATCACCCCGATCACTCAGATCGCCCAGATTGGCCAGATGGATGGTCCGAATCGTCCAGATCGTCCAAATCACCCCGATCACCCAGATCTCCCAGATCACCCAATCCTAGGGTTTCTGCCTCGCAACACCAGCTGGCGCTCCCCACGGGGCACGACCCGTGCGAGGCAGGATCAGCCAGCATCGAGACGGGAAATCGGATCGAAGCTTGAACTTGATTCGGATCTGATCACCGTTGAGACAATCCTCATCCCCACGGGCGGGGCCTTGGAACCACTGGCCGACTTGCCCACCCAAGGAAGGTGAACTGTTGGGGCTGAGATAACATGACCGGATGGGGATGGCGATTTCACGACACTGAGGATCGGGCCGCATCGGCACGGTGGATCGGATCGGCCGCACCAGGACGCACGACAGCGTGGCACTACAGTCGAGGCGTTGACCTAAGGAACCCTAAATAAGGAACGAGGCCCCTTTTTCCCATAAGTTAAACCTCGGCTTCCCATAGAAGACCTCAGGAAAACCCGAGGCAAACTTTGAAACAATCAAGGAACACCGAGCCCCTCCCCAACGAAAAGGGTTCCTTCTTCAGCGCCCCGACTGTAGGTCGACGAGCATGGTGGGCATCGACCGTCCGATGCTGAAGGCGTGGCCCCAGTCCACCTCTCCGACGGAAAAGGCCATCAGAGGGAGCACACGTGGGAGAGGAGGTGCAGCGACCTGGCGGATGTGGCCGCCAGACGTGGGCGTCGGTCGCACGATGTGCCTCGGCGAGTCGTCGAGCGGCACTCGGCGGCCTTGGCGAGGCCGAGGCAGGTGGCGGCATGGATTGGACATGCTTCGAAGCTCGTCTTCGGTGGCAGTGTCCAGCCTGATCCTGTGAAGGTTCCTCGTCGCGGGCCTGGGGCGCTTCGGCAGCGCTGGGCGGAGGAGACCAGGCTGACCACCGAGGGCGTGAGGCGCGGAGCCGAGGGCGCCTCGGGCAGCTCGGCCTCGGCTCGCACAGGGTCCTGTGCTGCGCCCCCCCTCCCCCCCGCCGTCGCCCCTGCGCATGCCAAGGCACCCACATCGGGCGCGTCGGCGAGGGAGGGAATGGACTTGTGACCGCTGCCCCGCGCATGCCCATCACGCCCGAGGGGGCACGAGCCCTCGCCCGCGGAGTTCGTCGTGGGGCTGAGGCGGCGGCCCTCTGGGGCCTGGGAGGTGCTTCGCCTGGGACGCCTTCGCCCTCCTGTGGGGTCGGATCGTGGAGGGCTCTCGGGGTCGTCGGGTGCTCTGGCCAGTTCCCGTGAGCCGTGTCCTGCCGCTGGCGATGGCGACCCTCTGGTGCCGGTCCCTGGGCCCGAGGCTGCTCCTGGTACGGACGAGGCGCCGCCGACCTCTGCCGAAGTGGGCCCTGAGCGGCTCCTGGGACTCGAAGGCGTGAGGCTCTGCACGGAGGTGGAACGGGGGGACACTGACCTCTCCCACGCCTGCCGCATGGTCCAAGTGGCGCGTGGACGGAGCTCAGAGGAGCCCCCCCCCTCTCCCTGCCCGCGGCTCGGGGGCGGAGGAGGAGGAGGAGGAGGAGGAGGAGGAGGAGGAGGAGGAGGAAGAGTGGAAGGGGGAGGAGGAGGAGGAGGAGGAGGAGGAGGAGGGAGGAGGAGGACGACGAGGAGGAGGAGGAGGAGGACAGGAGGAGGAGGAGGAGGAGGAGGAGGGGAGGAGGGGGGAGGAGGAGGGGGAGGAGGAGGAGGAGGCGGAGAAGAAGAGGAGGAGAGGGAGGAGGAGAAGAGGAGGAGGAGGAGGAGGAGGAGGAGGAGGAGAAGGAGAAGGGGGAAGGAGGGGGAGGAGGGGAGGAGGAGGAGGAGGAGGAGGAGGAGGAGGAGGAGGAGGAGGAGGAGGAGGAGGAGGAGAGAAGGAGGAAAAAGGAGGAGGAGGAGCGAGGAGGAGCCGAGGGCGGCCCGCGCCCCGAGGCTTCTCGCCTGGAGGGCCCGCCGCCGCGCCAGCCGGGGGGGGCGCCTCCCGGCGCCTTCTGGCCCGGCTGGGCCGCCGCCGCCGGAGCGGCCTGAGGCCTGGGCCCTCGGCGGGTCCCGTCGGGCCCGGGCGGCCGCGGGGCGCCCCGCCCCGACCGGCCCCCCCCCACCGCTCCTCCCCTCCTCCTCCTCTTCATCTCTCCTCCTCCTCCTCCCTCCTCCTCCCTCCTCCTCCCTCCTCCTCCTCCTCCTCCTCCTGCATCCTCCTCCTCCTCCTCCTCTCCCCTCCTCCTCCTCCTCCTCCTCTCCTCTCCTCATCCTCCTCTCCTCGGCCCGTGTGCCCCGGTGGTGTGCCAGAGGCCGTCGTGTCCTTGCGGCCGGAGGCGCCCGCGCACTCGGCCGTCGTCGTGGCGCTCGGGCCCCGCCGGCGGCCGCGCGTGCGCGCCCCGTGGGGCGCGTGCTCGGGCACTGCGTACAGCGAGGACGCGAGCTATTTGGAGCCCCTCGAGGTCGGTAAGGATCCCATCCTGGGAGAGAGCGTGATCCACCGCCGCTTTACTGTGGAAAATTGCCAAACCCGGGGGTCCCCCCCCACCCCCCCTCCCCCCGAAAATCCCCCCCCCCTGCCGGACCCCTCCCCCCCCCCCCCCCCCCCTCCCTCCGGCAAAACCCCCCCCCCCCCTCCCCTAACCCCTCCCCCCCCCCCCCTCCTCCCCACCCCAACCTCTCCCCCCCTACCCCCTCCCCCTCGAAAACCGGGGGGGGTCACTACCGGTTCGAACCCCTACCCCCCCCCCCCCCCTCCAGGATCCGGAAAACCGGGGGGGGTCACTACGGTTCGAACCCCCCCCCCCCCCACCCCCTCTGAAAACCGGAGGGGGGTCACTACCGGTTCGACCCCCCCCCCCACGCACCGCCAGCAAACGACTCCCGGTCCCTACCACCGCTCGCATCACATCCCCCACTGTTGTTCCCAGCACCACTGTCCTCACCACCACTGTCCCCACTGGTTCCACCACCGTCCCTATTGTCCCCACCAATGCCCCCACCACTGTCGCACTGCCCCCACTGTTCCCACAACTGTTCCCACCACGGTTCCACTCTCCCCACTGTCTCCACGGACCCAACCACTGCCTATCCCCATTGTCCCCACTGTCCCACTGACTCCTCCGCTGTCCCACTGAGCTGTCCCACTGTTTCCACCACTGTCCCCACTGTCCCCACCACTGTCCCCACTGTACCTCTGTCCCATTGTCCCACCGCCGTCCTCGCCACCGCCTTTACCAGTGTCCCCACCACCATTGTACCCTCCACTGTCCCAGTGTTTCCACCTCATTCCCACTGTCCCCACACCACTGTCCCCACCACCACCGTTCCCACCACTGTCCACTGTCCCCCCTGTTCCCACCATTGTCCCCACCACTGTCCCCACCACTACCGTCCCCACCACTGTCCCACTGTCCCACTGTCCCCACCACTGTCCCGCTGTCCCCTCACCACTGTCCCCACCAACACCGTCCCCACCACTGTCCGCACCCCCACTCGGTTTTCGAGGGGGGGGGGGGGGGGTTCGAACCGGTAGTGACCCCCCCCCCTTTTCATGATGAGCTGGGGGGGGGGGGGGGAGGGGTTCGAACCGGTAGTGACCCCCCCGGTTTTCCGGAGGGGGGGGGGGGGGGGGGGGGGGGTATCTTTGTGTAGGTGGCTTGTGTGTGTATGTGTGTTCTTGTGTGTGTGTCTCCAGCTTTATCATTGCCTTTCTCGTTTCCTGTATCCTTCGGTAGTTCCCATTATAATTATCTCTCTCTTTCTCTCTCTCTCTCTCTCTCTCTCTCTCTCTCTCCTTCTCTCGCTCTCTCTCTCTCTCTCTCTCTGCCGTTCTTGCCACGCCCCCTTGGGCTTCATTTGCGGCCCTCTGCGCCTTGTCGCAGGGAAGGTCAGACTCTCGGGGGAGCTGTGTAAATCAATAAATGCGAGAAAAAACAGCGGCGCCACAGATGCGCCATAAGTGTGGAAACATATGGGAAACGCATTAGAAACGCTTGACGGCGTAAACGTGCGAACGCACTATTACTTCATGTATTTATTCTTTCTAGTCAGATTATTTGGGATTCTGTGCGAAAGCACGAAATGCCAGAAAAAACAGCGGCGCCACCGATGCGCCAGAAGTGTGGAAACATATGGAAAACGCATGAGAACCGCTTCAAGGCGTAATCGTGCGCACACACTATTACTTCATGTATTTACAGATTTTAATAATATTCTTTAGGATTCTGTGTGAGAGCAATGCTTGCGAGAAAAAAAAAACGGCACCACAAATGCGCGAGGAGTGTGAGAACATATGGGAAGCGCATTAGAAACGCTTGAAGGCGTAAACGTGCGAACACATCATTACTTCATGTAGTTTTGGTTTTGTATTCAGATTCTTTGGGATTCTGTGTGAAAACACGAAATGCCAGAAAAAACAGCGGCGCCACAGATGCGCCAGAATTGTAGAAACATGTGGGAAACGCATTAGAACCGCTTCAAGGCGTAAGCGTGCGCACAAATTATTATTGCATGTATTTATGGATGTTTTATAAGATTCCCTTGGGTTCGATGTGAAAACACTAAAAATCAATGAACACGATGTGTTTTTCAATATTATTGTTCAAAAGTCAATGAAAACGATTTGTTTTCCAATCTTTTTAATCGAAAATCAATATTTTAAAAAAAAATTAAAAAAAAAAAAAAAAAAAAAAAAAAAAAAAAAAAAAAAAAAAAAAGCTTTGTTTTCCAATAATTCCAATTATTTCCAATATTTTCCAATAAAAACGCGGTGTTTTCCAATTTTCCAATGTTTTTCAAGGTTTCGGGTACGGCAACGCTGTGTTTTCCAAATTTTGATTTAAAAATCAATAAACACGATGCGTTTTCCAATTATTTGAATGAAAAATCAATAAACACGCTGTGTTTTCCAATCTTTTTAATCGAACATCAATAAAAACGCTGTGTTTTCCAATTTTTTATTAAAAACTAAATAAAAACGCTTTGTTTTCCAATTATTTTAATGCAAAAAATCAATAAAAAAACGCATTGTTTTCCAAATTTTTCATTAAAAACTAAATAAAAACGCTTTGTTTTCTAATTATCTTAATGAAAAACAATAAAAACGCTGTGTTTTCTAATCTTTTTCAGCAAAAAAAAACAATAAAAACGCTGTGTTTTCCAATTATTTTAATTAAAAATCAATAGAAACGCTATGTTTTCCAATGCTTTTCAACAAAAATCAATAAAAACTATATGTTTTCAAATAATTCCAATTATTTCAAATATTTTCCAATAAAAACATTGTGTTTTCCAATTTTCCAATATTTTTTAAGGTTTTCCAGCAAGGATCGCGCGTCGCCCCGTTGCCGCACCTGAAACCTTGAAAAATATTGGAAAATTGGAAAACACAAGGTTTTTATTGGAAAATATTGGAAATAATTGGAATTATTGGAAAACATATAGTTTTTATTGATTTTTGCTGAAACGCATTAGAAACCATAGCGTTTTTATTGATTTTTGATTAAAATAATTGGAAAACACAGCGTTTTTATTGATTTTTGCTGAAAAAGATTAGAAAACATAGTGTTTTTATTAATTTTCCATTAGAATAATTGGAAAACACGCCGTTTTTATTTAGTTTTTAATGAAAAATTTGGAAAACACAGCGTTTTTATTGATTTTTCATTAAAATAATTGGAAAACAAAGCGTTTTTATTGAGTTTTTAATAAAAAAAAATAGGAAAACACAGCGTTTTTATTGATGTTCGATTAAAAAGATTGGAAAACACAGCGTGTTCATTGATTTTTCATTCAAATAATTGGAAAACGCATCGTTTTTTTATTTATTTTTAAATAAAAATCTGGAAAATACAGCGTTGCCGTACCCGAAACCTTGAAAAACATTGGAAAATTGGAAAACACAGCGCTTTTATTGGAAAATATTGGAAATAATTGGAATTATTGGAAAACACAGCGTTTTTATTGATTTCAATAGAATCTTCTGGATGCGGAATCCAGTCCATTTCTATTGAATTCCAATTGGAATCTAATTAGAATCCAAATAGAAATCCTCTGGACCTGGGACCCGTTCTCTTTCGATTGAAATCCTATTGAAATCTCATTGGATTTCAATAGAATCTTCTGGATGCGGAATCCATCCCATTTCTATTGAAATCCAATTGGAATCTAATTAGAATCCAAATAGAAATCCTCTGGATCTGGGCTCCGCTCTCCTTTCGTTGAAATCCAATCAAAAGCAAACGAACAACTAATACAGACAGAAAGAACGAGAGGGAGAGAGAGAGAGAGAGAGAGAGAGAGAGGGAGACAGCAGAGGGAAATTAGAAACCAGGAAACACACACAAGCCACCTACACAAAGATACCACCCTTACGGGGGGGGGGGGGAGGGGTTCGAACCGGTAGTGACCCCCCCCGGTTTTCGGCCAGCAGCGGTAGAACACGCTCTTTCCATCCTGGGGGGTGCGGAATGGCAACCCTCGTCCTCTCCGCGCTGCTGACGATGCCTGCTTCTGGCTTCGTCTTCGGAAATTCGCTCGTGGTTTACCCTCTTTAATCGTCGAGTTGTGCGTGCTCGCCTTTTCCAACCGACTTGACATTTCCGTTTTCCCGTTTCGGCGCTCTCGGATTCGGTGTGGTCGTGCCCTCACCGTCGATACTCGGCTCCCTCGGCTCCCAGCCAACCTCCCGACCAAACCTGGCGCAAACATGACCCTGCCTACGCGCCACTTACCACTTCCGCCACCGCGTGGACAAATAGAGGCCTCCTAGATGGGGTCCGAGTAGATGGGGTCGGAGGACCGCGCCGCATCGCCGATGCATCGGGGATACATCGCCGATGTATCGGCGGTGCGTCGGCGACGTCGGCGATGTATCGGCGCCGTTGGCGTGGAGAAAAACGTGCTCCACATCGAGCTGCATCGCCGATGCATCGACGATGCGCCGCAATCCTCCGACCCCATCTACTCGGACCCCATCCAGGAGCCCTGGAACCAAGGGGTCCAGAGGCGGGTGTGGCGCCACCCAGTGCCAGACAAGTCGAGGCTCACAATCGCACACCAGCGAGCCTCCAGCACAACAGAGACATGGAAAGGATACCCTCCCCGCCCCACGGAGCTGTCCGGCGGTATTTGCATGCCCACGCGCACGGACGGCAGGCCGAACTTCTGGAGGCGCTCCTCGCATCTCAGAGCAGGTCGACGACGAACAAAGGAACGACGACGCCGAACACATACGACAAGGTCAGAACACATACGACAAGGTCAGAACGACGAGGAGGAAAACGAACGACGACAACGACAACGACAACAAAAACGACAAAAACGAGCAGCGACGAGGACGACGACAAAAACAAACCACGACGGCGACGACGGCGACGGCGACGGCGACGGCGACGGCGACGGCGACGGCGACGGCGACGGCGACGTCGACGTCGACGGCGACGGCGACGGCGACGGCGACGGCGACGGCGACGACCACGACGACGACGACGACGACGACGACGACGACTGCGTCGGCGGCGTCGGCGACGTCGACGACAACGGCGGCGACGACCACGACGACGACGACGACGACGACGACGACGACTGCGTCGGCGGCGTCGGCGACGTCGACGACAACGGCGGCGACGACGACGACGACGACGACGACGACTGCGGCGGCGGCGGCGTCGGCGGCGGCGGCGGCGGCGGCGGCGACGGCGACGACGGCGTCGGCGGCGTCGGCGGCGTCGGCGACGTCGACGACAACGACGGCGGCGGCTTCGGCGGCGGCGGCCTCCGTGGGCGCCAGCCCCGGCCCGACCGCGGCCGCACACGTCGGGGGGGAGGAGACCGGCTCGGACACGGCCGAGGCGTGACCGCGAGAACGCGAGGCCAGAATTTGGACTGCACATCTGTGAAGGGAATGCCAAGAGAAGTCCAGGACAGAGAAAAGATCGGACAGGGGTAAAACGGGGATCTCTGAGATCAGGCGGCTCTGGAGGATGCGTCGGGCGCCGCGGCCCTCTCAGAGCGTTCCGGAACGCTCGGGAACGATTCATCCCTGTCCTGGGCCCGCCCGAGAGCTGAAATACCCCAACCACGGTTGGCCCGAGGGGTTGGCCCAAGGGGTTGGCCGGGAGGGCTAGCCAGGGCTGGCCAGAGGGTTGGCTTGAGGGCTGGCCAAGGTTGGATACAGGGCAGGGCAAGGCAATTTGTCTGAGCGTGCTCTGCATTATGGAAGTAACTTCTGGTACAGGCAACTGTGTCCAGAATGCACGAGTACGGTGAGGGCGTTGGGTAAAGAAAACTTCGATAAGGCAACCGGGGCCTGAAGACGCTGGAACACCAATAGTAGATTGGCCGTGGATATCACCGCCGCCCTCATCAGATCGGGCTCCTCCAGGGTCTGGAGTTAGGTCGGGCATGTCCTCCTACAGGCGGATTTTGGACGGAAAATCCAAAATTGCCTAAAAGACTCAAAAATGTTTGAAATTGTCAAAAAAAATCGTCCCCTGACTATTATTATCTATGTTTGAATATTCTTCCGATGGAGGGACACAACCGACTCAAGTCTGGAGCCTCATGGGTACATTCCTTAACCAATTGCCCCCACCGCAAGCGCAATCCAAGCACTACCGCGAGGAAATCTGGGCAGGAATCGAGGAGCCCCTCGCAAGCTGCGGCCGCCTCGCCCCTCTGCTGGAGGATGAGCGACTGGGGAAGGCCCACGGAAGGATCTCCTGGGGAGCACTGGGCCCCCTGGGAGCGTCCAAGAGGAGAGCGTCCAAAAGAGATTCTGGCCAATTCAGGGGCTCTGGGGCCCTACTACTAACCAGGTCCCCTTACCTGGGGTCCTGGCTGACACGCCTTGAAATTCGCCGGCCCAACGGACCAGAGGCGTGCTAAGATCTGCAGCTACCGGTAAACAATATTTCTAATTGGCGCGCGCGGGTCGGCCCCTGGGGTCCCCGGACGAAAAGTATCCCTGCTGGTACTACCCAGAAATCGGTATTCCTTCTGGGCGCGGCTTTCAGACGCCCCCGAGCGCTACTAGAGGGCCCCAAGAGTCCCCAAGACGGTTCAAGAGGGCTCCGAGTCGCCGACCGATCGGTCCAAGACACCCAAGATAGCCTCCAGACGGTCGCAGACGCTCCTAAGACGCCCAAAGAGGCTTCGAAGAAGCGTCTCAAGAGGGCTCCAGAAGGCAAAAAACATTGATTCTCCTTCGGTTTTTGGAGGGTTTTGCCGTTCTCATCTGTTCGGCTTCCCGGCGCTCAAGCACGGCCCAAGAGGCCCCAAGTATGGCCCAAGACGGCACAAGAGGCCTTCAAGAGAGCCCCAAGAGGGCCCAAGGTAGCCCCAAGACGGCACAAGAGGTCTCCAAGACGGCCCAAGATATCCCCAGGACGGCCCCAAGAGGGGGCCAGACGGAGAACCCGAACGGACATTTCGAGCCCTCGGCCCCAAGAGGCGTGCAGGAGGCCCCAAGAAGCCCCCACGAGCCCCCCAAGAGGCTCCAAGGGGCCCCCGAGAGGCCCCAAAAGAGGCTCCCAAGACTCCCAACAGGCCCCCAGGAAGCCCCAAGAGGCCCCCAAGAAGCCCCCAAAAGGCTCCCCAGAGGCTCCCTCCGAAGAGACCCCAAGAAGCATCTAGAAGGACTTTGACCCACAACCCAGGTGCGTCTCGAAACTCTTCTAGAGCTCTCTTTAGCCATCTTGGCGCCCTCTGGGGCAGTCTAACGGCTCCCTTCGACAGGGTGCGAGCCACATCTCCAAAGATCTTCTCGAAGACTGACTGCCCCCCCCTGGGCACGAGCACACCACCACGCAGCCACAGTGATGCGAAATGGGCCGGCGGAATGAGCGAAGCGATTAAATGATAAGAAGAGCCCTTTAAAATTTGGAAAGATATCATGGCCCCGACCATGATATCCACACACCCAGCCATCACACCCCTCTTGGCCACCCCCGATTTCTGGGACCAGAATGGCAATTTACCTCAAAATGCTGACCGCTTCCACCGACTGGGGAGCAGATCTTCCGGGGCCCCAGGGGGCGGTGGATGTGGACATGTCCGCCCCACGGGGCGTGGCCGAACAGATCCGCACTTATTCACAGCATCTCGAGGACTTGGAAGATCCCAAGGCGGTGGATGTAAAAAACCCAGCCTCGAAGGATTTGGGCCCCTTCGCCAAAGGCCCAGGACCCCGCGGACATGATCAAAGCGAAGAGGATTCCAATGTGGAGAGCCGAAGTAGGAAGAGCACAAAGGAACCCCTCCAAAGCTGGGATGGGTGTGAGCCGTCGTGCCAGCTGTGCTCAGGTTCACGTCAAGCCCCCCAAGGAACAAGGAGCCCCCCAAAGGCCCCCGAGAGGCTCCGAGATTGCCCCAAGAGGGGCCCCCAAGAGGCCTCCAGGAAGCTCCAAGAGGCCCTCCACGAGACCCCAGGAGGCCTCTAACCAAAAGGCCCCCTCCGAGAACGGCGGCGACGGTGGTGGCAGCGGCAGCGGCGAGGACGGCGGCGAAGACGGCGGCGCAGGCGGTCCCCGTCGTGTCGACGTGGGCGCTGGTGTCGGACACTGCGTAGGTCGTCCGATCTTGAGCGATCCCCGCCATCCGAACGCGGGGAAGCCCACAGAGGACGTGCACGAGCACGGCCCCCCAGTCCGCGGGGCCAGCCTCGCGCTTCGAAGGCCCGCGCAGTGGCCAATCTTGAAGGGGAACTGGGACACACAAATAAATAGAGACAAATAACCAGACTCCCTATATTTTCCCATATTTTCTGGGTTTTTGTCTTCCCCCCCACTTCCCATATGTTCCCATATTTTCTAGGGAATCGACGATGAATTGTGTCTGTGTGTTTCTTTCCCTCCTGAAATCTCGAAACCCAGGACGGCTCTCACGTCCTCGTGCAGTTGGGGCCCGCTCCTGAGACTGCGACGGCGGAGAGCGCTCGACGCCTGCCCGGCTCAGGCCTCCGGGCAGCCTTCGGCATGGAGGGCGCACCACGCTGGCCCTGCCGCCGCGCAGCCGCGGCGCGAGCCCGCCCTCGCCCAGCTGTCCGTCCAAGGTGCTGTGCGATGACCACGGCGCCCCCTTCGCATCCTCCCCGCCGGCGTCCCAAAACGGTGCGGTGACAGACCGTGCGGCGACCTTGGAGCCCCCGACGACCTCACCGCACGGTCCGTCACCGCACCGTTCCGGAACCCTGGAGGCCCCAGTCGCCCGAGACATCCTCGGAGAACGACCCAAGCCCACGACCCAAGTCCCACGACCTTGCGGTCATCCCGAATCTTCACTGACTCACCACATGGTGTGGTCCTCGCACCTTTGGAGGGGCTCCGATCTCTGGACAGGCGTGCGAAAAACAATACAGGGGAGCTGCAAACATACAGGTTGAACCCCACAAACGGTGGAAGTGGCCACAGCCCGAAAACCTGACCAGGCTTGGAACAGAACTGAAACTGATGGAGAAGTAGCGCCAGGGTTGGGAAAGATTGGAGGCACACTGGCCAAGCCTGCGAAGGGTGGGGAAGGGCTGGCCCGAGCCTCTCCCCAGCTTCTCTCTGCAGACGCCCCCAGGGGAAGGGACGGGGACCTCTTCCTTCCTGAACTGACATGTGACACGCCCTACCACATCCCATGGCCGGGAGTCCTGAATGTTGAGCGCGGCCGCGTTGGACTGCGTCACCACCAAGATGCGACAGCCGTCGATGAGGGCCATCCACCTTCCCTGCCTCGAATCACGCCCAGGCACTGCCTGCCGTCTGCCGCCGATAGCCCCCCAGCTTCCCTGCGATGGCCGACTCGGCTTGCACTGATACCACCGTGCAGATCCTCCGCACAGGGAAATTATGTTCGGGGATGGACAGACCTCCCTTTCGTAAAACGTGGTTTAGTGAAAACGACCTGAGGCCCAAACCTGGCGGGCGCAAGCCTGGAAAATAACGGCCGCGGCGCCCTCTCGAGAGCCGAAAACGGACAATTCACTAATCGACGTGTCACTGTTGGGGGTTCTGTCCAGCCCCGATATGTCCACCGCAAGCCCGATGCCTTCGCCTGCCACACTCTTCCGCCCCGTGCCGACGAGTCTCGCTGGCCGCGCTGGAGCCACGGCAGGTCCGGCACCAAGTCCAGACAGACACATCGACTCCACCATCGGCTCCACCAGTCCAGACAGTGATCGACTCCACCATCGACTCCACCATCGACTCCACCATCGACTCCTAATCCACAACAGTCCAGTGATGGTTCACGCCACATCGCCTCAACCAATCCAGGCAGAGCCCTGCGGGCCCGTCCTCCTCCCCGGTCCCTTTCTGGCTCGGTTCATCCACACTCTGGCCCTCTCCTGACGTCCCCCCTGCTTTTCGACCTGGTGCCCATCTCGATGCGTCTTCTCCAGCCGATCGTCCACCTCATCCTCCAACATTCAACTATCCAACATACTCCACGGACGACAGCTAAGCTGGGCCAAGGCCTCCTTCCTGGCCATGACTCGGGCATCACGCGGCCAGTCCGGACAATTCCAGCCTCCCCGGAACGCCCTCGACGAGGCGAAGCCGATGGAAACCACCCTGGGCCCCGAAACCTTCCGAACACCTCAGGGGGAACCTCCGACGTCAAGACCGCTACGCGCGCCCCGTGCATAAGAACCCCCATGGAACTGTGGGACGGCCGAAATAGGTACGGAAAAAGTGAGCACGATGCCCAACAGCAAATATTGTCCAGAGCCGACAGCGGCCGCTGTTGGACAGGCGGCCTTCTGTCTCAAATGGATGTCGCTGGCGGCGGCAGCAGCAGTGGACCCAATTGAAGATGGGCCCGAACTGCCGTCAGCCTTCGTCACCACTCTTTCTGTAATTACCCACACCGTACAGTCAAAAACCCTAATAAGGACGCGCGGTAAGGACGCAAGACCCTTGGAAGCCGAAGTTGGGATTTTTGGGGCGGCGGACGACGAAATCCCCAAGGACGCAAGAGCAAGGAAGAGCAACGACGCAAAGGTACCCTGAGCAAAGTCGCGCGTCCTTATTGGGGTTTTTGACTGTAATGCTTGTCGAAACGGTGTCCCTGGGAGTCCCGACCCCTTTTGCAGGGCAGCTGCTTCACCACGAGCCTGCTGCCCGGCGAGGGGGACCCCCAGAGGACGAAAACTACCAGACATCTCCCGTCGTGATTTCTCCTACGACTCCAGCACGCATCGGCTTAGATCGTACCGACACCTGTACCCATTCCGATCGTACCGATAGCCGTGCCTCCTCCTCCTCCTCATTCCCCTCTGTTTCTCCTCCTCCTCCTCCTGCTCCTCCTCCTCCTTGCCATCCCCCATACAACCAACGACGGTCTCAACCTTGTGATGGGGATAGTTCGTTTCGTTCAGGCGCGTTGGATGAGGTGTCGGCGACCACGTCACTTCTTCAGACTTGCTTGAATCGAAGAAACTATGGTCCTGCATCCTACTACAGTCGGGGCCTTGACCTCAGGAACCCTAAATAAGGAGCGAGGCCCCTTTTCTCCAGAAGTTGAACTTCGATGTCCCATCGAAACCTAAGGAAAACCTGAGGCAGGCTGTGAAACGATTGAGGACCACGGAGCCCCTCCCCAACGAAAAGGGTTCCTTCTTCAGGGCCCCGACTGTGGCACGCGAGCGAAGGAGCAGAGAAGGGGAAGGAGAGAAAGGCACTGCCCGACTGCGCCGCTCCACCTCGACGAGCCGGCCCCAACTCCCCCCCCCCCTCCTCCTGCTCCTCCCTCCTCCCTCCTCCCGCCTCCTCCCTCCCCCCTCCTCCTGCTCCTCCCTCCTCCCTCCTCCCGCCTCCTCCCTCCTCCCTCCTCCCGCCTCCTGCTCCTCCTCCTCCTCCTCCTCCTCCTCCTCCTCCTCCTCCTCCTCCTCCTCCTCCTCCTCCTCCTCCTCCTCCTCATCCTCATCCTCCTCCTCCTCCCGCCTCCCCTATGCTCCCGCCTCCCGCCTCCCGCCTCCCGCCTCCTCCTCCTCCTCCTTTTCCTACTCCCCTCCTCCCCTCCTCCCCCCCCTTTAGGCGTTAGGCGAACTTCGATGGCTAGGATCGTAGCGCCTGTATGACAAACATGTGAGCGTAGATAAACCGAACAGGCTGCGAACAGGTGCAGAGTGTCAGAGGAAAACGAAAGCTGAGGAGCCCACAGGGGCGCAGAGAAACCGTGCAGGCAACTTGTGAGGAAGAAGGGAAGATATCCGTACCCGCCAGTCGGAAGAAGTAGGTGGAAACATGTAGTAGGAAGGTTGATAAAGTAAATTGGGTTCGGGACCGCCCAACGAGTAAGACAAAGCAACCAAAGCACATCACGTTTTGAAGTAGGAAGGCGCTTAAAGGAGAGTCGGATCTAGGAATCCAAACACACCTACTTTCAACGACCAGCGTGTAAGCATAACCTGAATGTCTCCCAGGCCCCCTCCCCAGGAAGACTGCAGCGTGGTAAACCTGCCTGGCTGCACAGGGGATCTGGCGGGCTGCTCCGCCCAAGCCCCCTCCTCCTCCTCCTCACCTCCTTCCCCCCCTCGCCCCTCCCCTCCCCCCCTCCTCCACCTCCCTCCTCCTCCCCCCCATCCTCCTCCTCCTCCCCCCTCCTCCTTCTCCCTCCCTCGCCCCCACCTCCCCTACCCCCCCCCTCCCTCTCCTCCTCCTCCTCCCCTCTCCTCTTCCCGGCCGTGGAGCACCGGCTGGCCCCCCGCCGCCCACCGCTCGATGATCGCGCAAGCGGTGTGCGTCTTGCCCGTGCCGGGCGGGCCTGCTGGCCCCACGGCGGCGGCTGTCACCATCACCACCATCATCATCATCATCATCATCACCATCATCATCATCATCATCATCATCATCATCATCATCATCATCATCATCATCATCATCATCATCAACACCATCATCATCATCATCATCATCATCATCACCACCATCATCATCAGCATCAGCATCAGCATCAGAATCACCATCAGCATCAGCATGAGCATCAGCATCATCACCAGTACCAACATCACCTTCATCAGCATCATCATCATCATCACCATCATCAACATCACCGCCACCAACATCATGATCATAATCCTAATCACCACCAACAACAACATCATCACCAGCAGCAGCATCATCATCATCAACAACAACATCAGTATCATCATCCTGATGCTCATCATCACGATCATCATCAGCATCATCGTCGGCAGCATCACCATTATCATCATCAGCATCAGCATCACCATCACCATCATCTGCATCATCAGTATCATCATAATCATCATCATCTGTGTCCTCACCATCATCCTCATCATCAGATCACCATTATATTATGATCACCACCATCATCATCGTCAGCATCAGCATCGTCATCGTTATCATCATCATCATCATCATCATCATCATCATCATCATCATCATCATCATCGGCATCGTCATCAACGAACTCTTCTTCATCATCAGCATTATCATCCTTATCATCATCATCATCATCACCATCATCATCATCGCCAGCCCAAACATCACCACTGTCAGTACAAACAGTGTCATCCATCAGCTTCGTCCCCACTATCACCATCATCATCATCCTCCTCATTATCGTCATCGGCGTCGTCATCACCTGCATCATCACCGTTATCGTGACCAACAGCATCTTCTTCATCATCATCATCATCATCATCATCCTCATCATCGTCGTCATCCGACTCATCATCATTAGCATCATCACCAACATCAGCAACATCATCAGCGTCGTCGACATCATTGTCACCATCATCGTCATAAGCATTATCACGCTCACCAAATTCGTCATGATCGTCGCAACCATGATCATCAGCATCAGCATCATCGTCGTCGTCATCCTCTTTACCGGGTAATCTACTAGTCTCTGATACCCCGCTGCTTCCGTGAAAAGATGAAACATGACGCAGATAACGGAAAATGCATTACATCACGCTCTAGCCACATCTTGTCACACACTGCGTTCAAAGGATCGTCGATGGCGATCCATCGACTAAGAAACTGCATCAGGTGAACCGCGGCCATTGCTTCACACGCAGTGGCACTCGGAGCGCCATGGATTGGAAATCTCGACCATGCCATATTCACCAATCTTCCCAGAGGGCTCCCGCATTGAACAATCCAGCCACCAGCTCCCAAGGAACCTCCGAGACCGCCACCAAAACTGCAATGTACGTAGTTCCCAGTCGGTCGCACTGGGGCTCCCACGTCAATCACGGAGGTGTCGAGCGCAAAGCCCTCTCCCGCAAGCGCATCAGCTTCGGAGTTGTTCTCCCGATACACGTGATGGAAAAATTCACCGTGGGCTTCGTGCGGAAGCAAAAATGGCAAACCCAACGCTGGATCAAGACAAGTGATGCACGTCATAACGGCCAGTACCAGTATCATCATCATCATCATCATCATCATCATCATCATCATCATCATCATCATCATCATCATCATCATCATCATCATCATCATCATCATCATCAACACCAGCATTGTGACATTAATCGTCGTCATCCTCAGCATCACCATCGTCGTCCCCAACATCGTCGTCAGCATCATCATCACCGTCAAACACAGCATCATCAGCGTTGTCGTCGCCATCGGCACCATTATCCTCCTCATCGCTAATATCATCATCAGCATCACCATCATCATCAACATCATCATATTCATAATCAGCATCATCATCGACATCTTCAGCATCAGCATCGTCATTATCATTATTATCATCATCATTATCATCAGCATCATCATCATCATCATCATCATCATCATCATCATCATCATCATCATCATCATCATCATCATCATCATCATCATCATTATCGGCGTCGTCATCATCATCGTCATCCTTTCCGCTGTCGTTGTCGAGGGCATCGTCTTCGTCGTCATCATCATAATCATTAGAATCGTAATCCTCATCGTCAGAATCACCACCATCATCGTCGTTGTCACGATCGTCGACATCACCATCATCATCATCGTCGCCCAACTGACGATCATAGTCATCCTTACCATCGCAACCATCATCACCAGAATCACCAGCACTATCAACATCAGCATCATAACCAACATCAGCGTCGTCGTAGTCATTTCCTTCACAAACATTACCAGTATCAACATCATGACCCCCACCATCATCATCATCAGCAGCATCATCATAATCAGCATCATCAACTTCGCCGTCACCATCATCATCATCGTCATCATCATTGGCCCTGTGCTTTGCTGGCGGCAGGCATCTCTTCCTGCACTGTGCTGTGCTTCCCGCGGCGCTCCTGGACGAAGTCGGAGCGTGTAGGTAAGCTGCCCCGCTGGCTTCAACTCCCTGCGTTGCCTGCTGGGATCCTCTGCTTGGCGGGGGTGGACGCGTGGGCCTCTTGCAGGTGTGTGTAACGTTCCATCGCGCTGCTGTGCGGTGGGGCCTCTCGTGCTGAGTGTGCGTATGGCAGCAAAAAAGCATCATTGGCGCTGTCACCATCATCACCATCATCATAGCCGTCATAATCATCATGGTCGTCGTGGTCATCATCCTCGCCGACAGTATCACCAGCATCATCACCCTCATCATCATCATCATCATCATCATCATCATCATCATCATCATCATCATCATCATCATCAGCATCGTCATCATCGTCATCATGATCATCATCATCATCATCATCATCATCATCATCATCATCATCATCATCATCATGATCATCATGATAGTCAAACTCCTCATGATTAGCAGTATCATCCTCATCATCATCACCACAATCATCATCATCGTCGTCGTCGTCGGCATCATCATCACCAGCATCAGCATCCGCATCACAATCACCATCGTCGTCATCGTCATCGCAAAAATGATCATTCTGTAATAATCTTAATGATCATCAGCATCAGCAGCATCATCGTCGTCACCATTACCATCACCATCATCATGAGCATTAGCATACTCATCACCATCACCCCCAACATCGCCATCATCAACACCGGCGGTGACACAATGGTCACAAGAATCATCATCAGCATCATCATCATTATCATCAGCATCATCATCATCATCATCATCATCATCATCATCATCATCGTCAGTATCCCCGCCAGCATCCTCATCATCGTCCGAATCAGCATCGTCAGCATCATCATCCTCATCAGCATCGTCATGACCATCATCTCCATCATCATCACAATCACAGCTAGTAGCTAGTAGCATCAGTGTCGTCATCGTCGACATCGCAGCTAGTATCATCATTATCGTCATCAGAATTATCAGTATCAGCATCATCAGCAGCATCATCGTCGCCGTCACCATCGTCATCGTCATCATCGTCGCCGTTGTTAGCACCATCATCATCACCACCACCACCACCACGATTATCATCAGTATCATGACCACCACAAGCAGCACCATCATCATCGGCATCGTCACCGTCTTCAGTATCACCGTCGTCGGTATCAGGATCGGCGTCATCATCATCACCCTCCTCCTCCACACCATCACCAGTGCCATCATCAGCACAAGCATCAGCATCACCATCGTCATCATCATCAGCATCATCATCGTCATCGTCATCGTCATCGTCGTCATCATCATCGTCGTCGTAGTCATCATCATAATCATCATCATCCTCATCATCCGTATCACCCTTCCCATCACCATCAACACCATCACCATCGTGTCACCATAATAATAATAATAATCATCATCATCATCATCATCATCATCATCATCATTACCATCATCATCATCAGAATTGTCGTCGTCGGCATCAGCTTCGTCGTCATCATGACTAGCATCGCCCGACGCAGTCTCATCACTATCATTAGTTTCATGATCACCATCACCATCATCATTACCATCATCGTCCTGCTCATTATCAGAACCGTCGTCGTCGTCGCCATCGTCGCCTCCTTCCCATAACCACCATCACCATCACCATCCGCATCGTCATCATCATCATCATTATCGACCTAGTCGCCATCGTCATCACAATCATCGTCACCATCATCATCGTCACAATCGTCGCCATCATCATCGTCATCATCTTCGGCAATCATCGTCTTCATGGTCGTCATCATCATCGCCGGCTTCGTCATTATCGTCGTCGGCATCACAATCATCACCACCATCAGCAGCATCACCATGAAAATCATTGTCATCATCACCATTGTCATCAACATCATCCTCGTCCCCAAAGTCACCATCATCGCCATCATACTCATCATCGTCGGCATCATCATCATAATCAGCATCATCATCATAAGCATCGTCGTCGTCTTCATCGTTGTCCTCATCATCATCGTCACCATCGTCATCATAATCGGAAGCAGCATCATCATAGTTGTCATCCACATCATTGCCGTCGTCGTCATCACCGTCGGCGCCATCAGAATCATCATCAGATTCATCATCGTAACCATCATCATCATTATCAGCATCAGCAGCATTACCACCATCAGTATCACAATCGTCATCGTCATCATCATCATCAGTATCGTTGCCGTCAGGACAACAACCACGATCATGAGTACCATCATCATCATCAGCAACATCATCTTCATCCTCAGTAGCATCATCATCATTATCACCATCAACATCAGCATTGCCATACCAAGGATACTCATCATCATCTTCGTCATCGTCGCCGTTGCCAGCACTACTATAGAACCCTAATATCCCTCGTTGCCATCATTCGTATCGTCGTCGTCATCGCCATCATCGTTAAAATCATTAACCCAGTAGTAGTGACTATGAACTTGATCAGATCACCATCA